CAATACATCCCCTGGCCTTTATAGAAGATGTATCACTTGGTATCGATATGGGACGAAAAGAGTAGCTAAGTCTTTGTTGTGTTATGACGAACTTATCTAAAGAAACACAGGTAACCGAACTACTGATGGACACCATGATGTTAAGACGCTTCCTAAAATCTTAAACTTGATCTCACTTAAACAGAACGCAACTTGAATGAGATAAAGCCCACATTTCAACCGGCAAAGCTACACGTTTATGGGATACTTCAATACAAATTTCCATACCAGCAAAGATAAATTATGCAGATGGATAAGAAATGTATGTTAATTTTATTGTTAAGTCAGTTACTGAGATCAATAAAAGTTACAAATTTTATGGATGGAATATGTAGGAAGAGATGCGACAATACAAAATTTTGGTCGAAAAACCTGAATGTAAAACCACTTAGAAGACCTAGTCGTAAATGGAACATATATATATATATATATATAGAAGGTGGTTAACGGACAGATATATTGGCGGGATTTTATGAGCACGGTAATGAACCTTTAGTTTCCATAAAAGTCTAGGTATTTCGTGACTAACCTAGCGACTATCAGCTTCTCAAGAAAGCCTCTGCTCTATCGAGTACGTTAATGACATATATAATTCTGACAGCCAAATACTGTTGATAAGGGTACTGCGTCAGAAAGCTTTATAAACCACAACTGGACTTGTCACTCTGTGTAATCGAGATGTCTGCTTACAAACCAGGAACAGGTTACAGAAGGTCTCTGGTACGAACTCAGCAAACGCATTCAATGGCACGTTCCAGCTTTAGGGGTTGCATCAACAACATTAAGTAAGGGGCCGGGAGCTCAGATTTTTTCTATTCCCCAGACAGAAATGGAGGAAACGAGGAGGCAGACTGGAAGAAGTTCAAGAAGAAGAAGGAGGAGGAGGAGGAGGAGGAGGAGGGAGGAAAGCGGAGACAGGACTATGACCCAAGAGATGAACAGATCGCCCACCGCTTCCATCCGATACAAAGGCGGTGCTCCAGTTCAGTACAACCCTCAACGTAACATAATGAGGAGTACGGCGGGTCTACATACCCTCCAGGATATTAACAGCCATCTCCCACACAAAGGGAATCTTCAGATCTTATTCCGAGCCACGTTCAAAGTGAGACCAAATGATAACACGTCTAGTTTATGTTAAACTCTGTTCACTTTCATAGTTGTCCTTGGGAGTTGGATTTAGAGTAACGTTTTTGTAAAGCACAAAATTTTAAGGTCACCCGAAGTACTGCATTTGAATTTCTGCCGTGAAAATTTTAATGTACTCTTGCATACTGTACAAAACTGAACACGTAAAGGGGTGGTCACTCCCCGTTATTCGTTTTTATCCGCCCCTGTATGTTCTGTTTTCGAAACTGCCGTAACATCTGCTTTTCAAGGTGGTCATTGCCACAGGTACGTCACTTAGCCCGCGCGATACAAAATGTTTCTTAAGTTCTTCTTCCAGTGGCGTAAAATTCCGTTTCTGTATTCTACTCCAGTTTTAACTGTCACTCCGGGCTTCCAGGGGCAATTGATATAAAATGTAAAGTTAATTCTAATCTTTATGAAGCTATATTGATTCCGGAATGTGACAGTCGCTTTCAACTTCACGAGTGAACTTAACAATATATAACACATTTAACTCATCAATTAAATTATGTTCACTACAATCAAGATAATTCCTCTATTAAACTTAATTCCATTATGCTACGCTATTTAAAAAGTGAACCAGTTGCCACCACTAAACGTGGAAGCTGCAGTGTTCCCTGCCCCTCCTGCTATTCTGTACATAGCAAACCCTGAAGTTTCCATCGTGAAACACACACCAACACCCCCCTTACCATTCCCTAATCCCGGCAAAACACAGACTGTGTCCCACCAATCAATTCCAAATTCATAAGCCGAATAAAAAGTATACACACTTCAACTCCCAAACATTCCGAAATGGAATGATAGTGTTATATGTTGATTGCGATTGAAATCCTTCTGCACTTTGAGCTCGTACGTAAAGCGGTTTCGTATTCATGAAACAATGTAGATGACGTTATTTTCTCAGCTGCTTCCAGACTCCAGAAGATGTACACCAAAATGCATACCGTGAACAAGCGTTCAAGATAGTAGACATATATCTCGTAAAAGATATCATGACATCGCGGAGTCTGAGTAAAAAAATTACATAGAACATATCAGAGCCCTAGTCTTAAAAAAACTGGCCGGATAGTTCATCAGTAATGCGACGGGCTACGGGGCCAGATGACAGGGGTTCGATTCTTATTAGCTTTCAATATCACGTTCAGACCGGCTCGGCCTCCATTCCCTCGGATGTCTCCCATCTAATGGGCACTGCGTTCCTTTCTTTCTACCATCCAGTTAAATATAAATACTTAAAGATTATGACCGCGTAATTCCGCACGCAGGGAATCACCCGGCTCGGGATTCCCCCACCCTGTCCATTTCAACGAAATTTGGGATGTGTTGACACAGTTTAGCAAATCTTCCAAATACAATTCTAGTTGTTGAAATCGGACAAACGGACAGAAGGGGGAGATACTGGTACCTCCGCCTCTCAATTCTACTCGCCACGCAGCAAAGACTGAGATATTAACCTCAAGAAACACGAAAACAAGTCACTTCTCCCTCCTCGCGATTTCATTCATAGATTGTACCGAACTAAAAACGACAAAACTGGGCATAAAATATTATAAGAAGCAAACCAGTGCTTCCAACAAAGTGGGCTTTGACTTCAACTACTATAAAGTTTCAGTACCAAACATTTCTCTCTTTTTATTCTTGTTCGTTTGTTTTCAACCCTACCATTCTCTTTTTCCACTCCGTTCATTTTGTATCCCTCTATTCCAGTTTTATACCACGGTTCAGGAACGTCTATAAAAGCCAATGCCACTACGTTATGGTAGAAATCCAGGATAGAGAAAGAATTCAAAGGGTCTCCACCCTTTTCCCAATTTTACTACCCCGCATGTCATTGCTTCGTCGTAACAACCTCCCCCCCCCCCCCCCCGCCGGGCGTGGATAAAAAGCCCCTCTGAAAATTCCTTACTCGTCCATCCTGTCCACCTGATGGTCTAAATCCCTTTTCCTCACGCCTGGTTATCAAATGTAAGAAAATTTCAGTAACTCAAAAAAAATATATATATTTCGTCTGAACGTCTCTCCTTTCGTATATTGCAACAATTTCCTGATCACAGTTTGTATTTGCACTTCATTCTTTATTTTATTTTGGTCCATCGTATTATATTCTATTTCATTTCGTCAAATGTTATTCTGTTTTATACTTTTGTTTTGTTAAGCAGCGAATAATAAATAGGAGAAATTGTCTTTAGGGTTCAGTTTAGAACGTATTCCTGTCTCCCGTCTAGAAACGTAAAGATTGAAATACATAAAACTATAATATCATCAAAGTTTTGTTTTGCATGCGTGTAACTACAGATTTCCAACACTTAAGATAAGAGCACAGTTTTAACGTTTTCTATAACACGCAGCTGATGTGAATATTTGATTCCGTATAAGGTTAAATGTAAAAAGCGACTCATCGCTCTGATGATGAAGGCAGTATGACCTCTGAAACGTTGGTAAACATCGACCAGACTACACGGCGCAACAACCCAGAAGACAGAAGTCTTCATACTCTGAGGACGGAGGCAGTATGACTTCTGAAACGTTGGTAAACATCGACCAGACTACACGGCGCAACAACCCAGAAGACAGAAGTCTTCATACTCTGAGGACGGAGGCAGTATGACTTCTGAAACGTTGGTAAACATCGACCAGACTACACGGCGCAACAACCCAGAAGACAGAAGTCTTCATACTCTGAGGACGGAGGCAGTATGACTTCTGAAACGTTGGTAAACATCGACCAGACTACACGGCGCAACAACCCAGAAGACAGAAGTCTTCATACTCTGAGGACGGAGGCAGTATGACTTCTGAAACGTTGGTAAACATCGACCAGACTACACGGCGCAACAACCCAGAAGACAGAAGTCTTCATACTCTGAGGACGGAGGCAGTATGACTTCTGAAACGTTGGTAAACATCGACCAGACTACACGGCGCAACAACCCAGAAGACAGAAGTCTTCATACTCTGAGGACGGAGGCAGTATGACTTCTGAAACGTTGGTAAACATCGACCAGACTACACGGCGCAACAACCCAGAAGACAGAAGTCTTCATACTCTGAGGACGGAGGCAGTATGACTTCTGAAACGTTGGTAAACATCGACCAGACTACACGGCGCAACAACCCAGAAGACAGAAGTCTTCATACTCTGAGGACGGAGGCAGTATGACTTCTGAAACGTTGGTAAACATCGACCAGACTACACGGCGCAACAACCCAGAAGACAGAAGTCTTCATACTCTGAGGACGGAGGCAGTATGACTTCTGAAACGTTGGTAAACATCGACCAGACTACACAGCGCAACAACCTAGAAGACAGAAATCTTCAGACTCACCGCTGTGAAAACCTCAAATCCTATACACACACACAATTTACGTACATACCGATATTAATACATTCTGTTTGTATGAACAAGAGTTTTGAGCTTCAATGGTTTTCAACCTATGAATATCATGCAACTTCTACTGAAGTCGATTTTACATGAAAATGTAAAGTGTGTTTAATCAAAAACCAGCACAGAGTTGCGTAACATGATAAATTTCCTTCATCATTACATTAAGTTACAAAGCAATTTCACTCACACTTACATTGCATCTCACCAACATGTAATTGCTTATCTTATATACAATACCCTTCATTTATCATTTACAAACATTGTTCAACCCTCTTCAGACATTCGTATTGTGAGAACAATGTGTGGAGTGAATTTTCTTAT